TACACACATCTTCAAGAATCATATGCAAATTTCAGGAAGTAACCAGATGACACCGATGGTACGTTGCAATGACGAGAGTGTAAGAGAGTGATATATAAGGAATACAGGCAAAGAAGTAAAATTGTTCGCAGGCGCTTTATAAGCATTTCAGTGCAATAACCGAATAGTTTATGACACAAAGGACGCATTTGGATGATTTTTACATGGTAGAATTATCGGCCATCTGGAATGTGGGCGTACCCAACTGGAAGTATCAGACAAACTTGGAAATGCCCAGAGTGTCATCTCCAGGCTTTGGCAACGATTCCAAGATGATGGTAATGTGAGTAGACGTTACAGCACAAGTCGCCCCAGAGTTACAATGCCGAATGAGGACTGGTATTTGGCAGTTACTGCCAAAAGAAACAGGCGGAGCACAGCCTCAAACCTGTCTCGTCAGCTGTCTTCAGCCACTGGTACGACAATTTCAAGGCAGACCGTGTACAGACGCTTAGGGCAGATTGGTCTATATGCTCGTAGACCTGTCAGATGCGTTCCACTTACTGCAACTCACTGTCGCCTGCGGTTAGCCTGGAGTAGAAAGCATGCATTGTGGACACCGCAACAGTGGGCTTGTGTGATGTTTTCCGACGAGTCCAGGTTTAGCTTGCAGTCTGATTCTTGCCGGACTTTCATATGGATTGCTCCAGGTACCCGTTACCACCAAGAAAACATCATTGAACGACACCGTTACGGTGGTGCAGGAGTGCTCGTTTTGGGGTAGAATTATTCTGGGTTCCACAACTGACCTGCATGTTCAAATTGGAACCATGACAAGCAACATCAATCGGGACGTCATTCTGTAACAACATGTACGTTTGTTTTGAGGTGCCATGGGCGCACAATTTATCTTAATGGATGACAACGCCCGTCCTCACCGTGCAAACATCGTAAGCGAATGCCTTCAATCGGAGGATATCACCCATATGGACTGGCCAGCATTCTCACCGGACTTGAATCCAATAGAGCACATGTGGAACATGCTTGGCCAACGAATTGCAGCCCATGAACCTCCTCCTACATGTCTACCGGAACTTCGGAGAGCATTACTTTTTGAGTGGTGTAATATCCCCCAAGATCAGATCGATAATTTGTTACTCAGCATGCCTAGGCGTTGTACGGACTGTATCCCAACGTATGGGAGACATACAATATATTAAGAATTATACCAACCATGTAATATTGGTTTTTTGTAAATAGGTTTTTTTTTGTAATTTGCTCCAGGGAGAAAAAATCGCTAGTTTTTTTTAATAATATCAAACATATAGCCTCTTTTTTTTGCTCTTTACCTTTTGTTTAATAAATAAGCTTTACAAATAAAGTCAAATTTGTTTTGCTTCTGACTCTTCCTTTGCCTGATTTTGCATTATTTGCATTATCCTTAATTTATGGACATGAGTGTATTTTGCTGTCAGTGAATTTGAATTACAAATTGTGCCAAAGAGAAATTTCATGTAGTTGCAATTTTTAGATTTCAGGCAGAAAATAAGTATAAATTTGAATTTTGTGTGTGTGTGTTTGTGTTATTTTTATATGCATGATTTGAAAAACATGTAGCAAAAAATTTCTAAATTTAGCTAACAAATTTTGTTTAGTTAACAAAAACAAAAAAGTTCAAATATATGCTCATGTCACAGCTCATGTTAAAACAGGTGATTTTTTTTTATTGTAGAACGACATGAACTAAAGAATTTTTTAAAGAGAGAGATGTATGCATCAGAGTTGTTGCTTATTAACCACCAGTAAATTAATCATATTATTTCTTTTAAAGTAAGTAACACGGAAATGCCATGAGCATCAAGAACAAATGCATTTTTAGATTTATATCTACAAGTTAACAAAGTACATAGGTTATTTAAAGATATGGCATAAAATTATATATTGTTGCAGCAGAATGGGGGAGGGGGAAACAGCATTTTTGAATAAAATAATTTCAAATTTTCAAGTATGTCATCTACAAAACATTTAATTAAAAAAAAGGGGGGGAACTGAATAAAGCCTTAAAACTGATAAATATCTCTAAAGCCACATCTTTAATAGAGGGCTATATTTTTCTTTATAGCAGATAAAAGGAAATATTTCTGGAAACATTCTTGAGAAAGGTAATGTAGTTATAGATATAAACGCATTAATTGAATTTGAACAGAAATGAAAACTAATAAATCAAATTATCAAGAATTGCGTGATAAGAAAATGAATTTTTCATATTAGAAGTTAAATAAACTTTTTAATCTTGCAAAGTGAAATGGAGATATGAAATATTAAACAAAATCTGTTAAATTGTTCATTTTCTAATTGCAAAAAGTTAATGCCATTGAATTTAAGTAATTTAGAAACATAACATATAATTTAGCACTCTAATACATGAATGATATAAATGGTGCAAAAATTCAGTCAAAAATATATATTTTTAAAAACCATATACTTTCAATAATTCCAGACACTGAAGCAGCTACAAGCTTATATCTTAAAAAATACTCACAAATATAGTTTAGTTCAATTATATCTGAATTTGGAAGAAGTATTAAGAATAATTTTGTTACTGCTAGTAACATTGCTGTTGGTGAAAGGAGTTTCAGCAAACCTAAAATAATAAAAAGTTGTACAAAATCTTCAAGTGGTCAAGAAAAAATTTCAAATATGGGTATTTTTTTGTATAGAATATGAATTAAGTGACCTAATAGATTTTGAAAAACTATGATATTGCTTCATTAAAAGTGAGAAAAATTAGATTATTAAAAGTGTTTGAAAAGTTAGTGTATTTCTGTTACACTGCTATTTATATATTATTTCAATATTATATGCTATTTATTTATCGGGGGGGGGGGGAACAAATTTAATGCTTTTCATTTCAAAACTGTAGTTTTTTTTTTTTTTTTTTTTGTATGTGTTATTTTCTGTAAAATATATAAAGCTATGATTTAATATTATTGTAAAAGTTATGATATTATGATCTGAAGCAATTACCTTTAACAAATATGAAATTCCGAAGAGGTACTCTTCAAATGCATTGTATATGCCCCTATGCATTGTATATAGGGGCATGCATTTGCCTCATTGCTTCAGATGAAAAAATATGCAAGCACGGCTCTGGCAACTGGTATATTTTCTTTTGATAAATCTACAAATCAACAGCTTTTAAAAATTCTTTGATAGTTCTGTTTTCTCTAGGAATGCAAATTCTATGCACAAGTGTTTATATATTTGTGTTTGTCCTTTAATGAGATAGTCTATATAATTAGATGAGATTAATGAGATAGATAATAGTGAGCTTTGAAAATTTTAACTAAGAGCTTACACTTTATTATGTAAAAACAAAATATCAAATTCTAATTAAATGCCTAACTTTTTCAAAAATAGAAAATATGAATAACTGTGTATAAATAAGAAAACATTAAAAAAGTTTCAAAATTTGAAAATCACTAAATATTGCAGAAATTACATAAAGTAGCGATTAAATGTTACTGTGAGGCCCAGCTTATACTTACTGCCATGTATTATTTTATTCTTTTGTACTAGTTCATTTTAACAATTTATTCTTTTATTTCAAGCTTATTTTAATTTAGGCACTTTTACCATGTTACAGATTATGCATACAACAGATTAAAAAACAGTTCTTTCCATAATTTGTTCAGTTTCAAAACTCCTGTGTATAGCCAGTAGAAAGACTGCACTTTGTATTTTAGTCAATCTATAATGATTAATGCTTTTTCGTTTCTTCTTTAGCCAACATCGAAAACTTTCTTTCCATTCGGGAAAAAACGTTTGAATGATATTTCTAGGAAGCATTTCAAGAAATTTTTTTGAGAACTCATTGTAAATATAATGTGTGTTTTCTAATGAGAAAATTTTGAATATGGAAACCTTTTATGATGAGATATTATATTACTCTTTCATCTCCTATCAGTTGGGTGTTTGAGAAGAAATACTCACTCATTTAAAAAGCCTCTACATGGTTGTTTTTGTTAATCTTAAGCTAAAGTCTGCTCCTCTTGGTTCCAGTCTAGACATTGAGAGTAGAGTGTGAAAGAAACTGGAACTGGGGTGGTAAAACTACACTGGCTGAAGTTTTGGCAAAATCTGTTTTATTTGCCTGGTCAGACTATGAGTATTCAATTATCTTAAGAATTTGGCCACTACTATTGCCATTCAGAAGGCTTTGTTAGAAATGTTTCCTTTTTCAAATGATATACTTTGAATTTCTGTTTTTCCTGATAAATTTGAAACATTTTTGCATCTGCAGCATACTCTCTCAAGGCGACATTTATTACATACTATTTTAATTTTCGGTACATGTTAAACAGCTTAAATCATAAAGTCTAGTTCATTTTTTGGCATCTGATATGCCTTTCTAAGATTAATCCTTTTTAAATTTTGATGTAACTGGAGAAACATCTAACTCTTTATTCTCTTCTTAATTTCAAGGAAATTATTATCTTCAAATATCAGTAATTTAGAGGCATGAGAATGATTAATTACTTATGTATTTTATAGAAATACTGTAACTGTCTTCCATCCTCCCCCCCCCCAGAAAAGGAAGCAAATTTTGTAAGGAGGATTCTTTTTACCATAGCATGAATTAAATAATAGTTTCCTGAAGCTGTAAGTAATAAATCTAGCATTCTATAAGATCTAGACTATCTTATAAGATCTGCTCGCATTTTGATAACGGCAGTAAAAAAGTTCAAAATATTGTAAGAGTTACCAGAAGAGAGGACGGATATGAGTTAAGCCAATGCAGATTCCAAAGTAATCCTGCATTGAGATTGGCTGTTTCAATGTAGATCAATGCAGAATTGCCAGAAGCCTTTGGATTGTTAAGCAGCATGTTGAAAGAGCATATCTGAGAAATTTGCCTACACTGATGTTATATTACTTTCCTTTCATATTTTCCTAGTATACTTGAATGTAATTTCCAGATGCATGGTAGTATTTTACTATAAATACATTTTACTTTTTAGCCCAACAGCAGACTTCTGCAAAGAGTTGAAGACAGGAAAGTTTCTGGTTCTGTTTTAATTGTGCAAAATAGATCTGAGGTTAGTGAATTCCTCTATGACTGTGGAAGATAAAATTTTTAATAAATGATATAAAATTTAAATTACAATCACATTAAATTTCTCTAAATGACAATTGAAATGAAATTATGTATATTTTACCAATGACTAGAAATAGAGTGAACAGTTTTTGAAAACTTTTCTGAACTAATGACAGTGGTTATTTTGAAATCAATTAAATATTTTCTTAAATTTGACTTTAAAATATGTATATAATTTACTTTTCTCTTAAAAATCATATTCTTTTCATAAAAGCATTAACGCTTTGAGTTTCAAAAAGAAATTATTGATTTATGTGAGTATAAAATTTCATTAATGTTTTTATAGTTTTTAGTACCAGAAACATGATTGGAAATATTGTCTGATTTGTGATTTTAATCTTAGAAAACATATGAGAGTATTTTGAGTCAGAAACATATTTTCAAAAGCTGCACTAGTAATTTAACATAAAGGTATTGGGGAAAATTTCAAACTATTGCTGTACCCATATTTTAGTTTTGAGTGAATAGTATAACAGCCAAAGAGATCTTATTGTTGTATAGTGCCTATCAGTTTTGCAGAAGAATATCCTAGCATTATATGTAACTGCACTGATATGCTAACAATATATTTAATAAAGTGGGGAGTAAATTTTCTTTCATGTAATTGTATTTCTTCTCCAAGCCTTTGATTTCTTTACATGGCAAACTAATATGAAGTTTCCTTTGATCCTGAATTTTGTTTTAGTAAATTGAAATATTTGTATTCAATAATATGCTTGTAAAATGTAAAACATTAATATGAATTTTTAATGCTATATTTGTATACTGAAAATATCTTTAATGTGTTCAATAATATACTGATAATTCAATTTGCAAATTTGCTTTGCATACAATATTTAAGATTTTGTAATTTAAAGCTTAGTAAATCTGGAAATGGATTGAGAAGTAAGGAGGGACATTTGAAAAAGTTTTGAGGAAAAGAATTTCTCTCTCTCTTTTTTTTTTTTTTTTTTTTCCCCTTTTGATTTTTGTGAGTAAAATAAGTGAACTACATAATTTATTTTGTAATGTGCAAATAATATGAATATGGATTGTATATCTTGTTGGAATAGGCCTCCAATCGATGCAAACATCATTGGGAATATGATAGGTTGCAGGATATGTTGACATAGTGTTGAGCTATTCTCCTGCGAAATATAAGCTCACATGACCATTTATCATAGGTAAGGGCTTTCCAATTGATAACATAGATATAATGAGCATATGCTTTTGCATAATAATATTAGTGCTGGGCAGTATTGAATTAACCAAGTCTCCACTCCACACATCTGAAACAAGTAACAACTGAATCATTACTGAATGTGATATAGTTACATTCTGATACACTCTATATTTTTTGGCTGTGAAAACAAGATAATTGTTGTTGACACTATCTAAGAATTAGTAGTAAACCTAAAACAGACTCTTGGATTGAATTCAAGCCTTCATGACACTGTGCATCTAGAGATGCATTTCTAAAGAGCAGATAGCAAAGTAATTCTTTAAGAAATTGTTCTCTTATGAGTTACATTATCATTATGATGGTTATGAGCACGGTTACAACAACTGATAACTGATAACATTATTGTTCTGATCCTCATACCAAGCAATTTATCACTTATTATGAAATGATAGTATCAGTTTGGGGCTTCAGGCATTCTATATTCAGAATCGTTTGTATTTCTGCATGGACAAAGAGTACAGTGATGAAGATTTAGGCCTTATAATTTGAAGGTGTGTGCCTAACAATTTTTGTTGTAAAATACCATATTAATTTTGTAAATAAACTGTGTATATGTATTAACACTAGATACATAATTTATGCGAATATCACTTACCTCTGGAATTAATACTACATGGCGATTGAAATTTTAGCATAATTGTTACATAATCATAATGGCCATACTTCTTCTCTAAAGACAGAGGTTCTGTTTCTGTTTGAACTTACTGAGTTTGTCGAATCACTGCTGGATGATTTTTCAAAACATTGTCATTTGTTAATTTTCTCATGCAAGGAATAAAAACTTACATGAAGCTGAGGAATGTATTGTGTATTTATTTTAGCATTTATTCTACTTGAGTTGTATATATGTTTATTTTGGGATGATTCCATATGCACTTTGCACTGCTCCATATGTGTATTAGCTGTACATTTTCTGTCATTTCTATCTGACTAAGAAATGTATTTTGTATGTTCAGTTTCAAAAATTATTTTATGGTTTGAAATTTAGATTTTTTTTAATTGTGCTTAAAAAAATTATAAAAGTATATACTGTATTTTTAGCTTTTGAATATCAAGAATTACTATATAGCAGATATGCTAATATAAATCTGTATAAACAAGTACTAGAAATGTAGATATTCAGGAATAATCGTTAATTGCACATTTTGTTCTGAATAAATGAAAAATATCTGAAAAGGTGATCTGAAAGAAAATATCTAAAGCCATGTGGTTAAGCATGATTCCTCTTTTGAATTCAATGTGGTAAGCTATAAAACTGCAGTTAACTAGTCTGATTATAATACTGCTCAAATTGGAAACTCGAATTAAAATTCCTAAGTAATTGGGGGAAGCATGTCATGGTAATTGTTGAACTGTAGCAGCACTTTCAGATTGTTCATTCTTTAGACAATCGATGGAAGAAGTCCAACTGATTAGCTAAGAGAAAAATTGTCTTTTGTGAACTACATTTACTAAATCTGTTGCCATGATAAGAAAATATTTTTTAGCATCATGGCTGTTATGTTAAAAAATAGCTTAAATATATAGTTTCTTCACAATTTTTTTTTAGCTCTATTTAAATAACTGGGAATTGGGGGAGGGATAGGATTATTACCATCTTCTTTTCATTTTTAAACAAACAAAGAAGGAAAAAATTGTTGATCGTTTTAATCATGTTTTAAAATATAAATTCAACAAAATAAACATTAATAAATGTAAAATATTTATCCTTTTTTTGTGTCTTCGTTGCATTATTTCTTTAAAGATCCAAAAGTTGTGAATATTAAAAAATAAATAAATAAATAAAAACTATCAGAAAAATAGTCAATTTCTCATAATTTTGTATCATAAATATATATATATGCAATAAACTTTCTTGGTCTTTGTAATATTTTGTCTAAAATTTAATAATGAACTACAGAATGAAAATATATATGAATAGGCTATTTATTTCTTTTCTGTCATTTAAATATGTTTTTTTAAAGAAAGGTTCCACATTCATATATATATTTATATTTTTTAAGCTGAAGGATGTAAATGAAGCAAGCTCATAAGGCTAGGAAAATTTCTCACTTAGTGGAAGTAATACAGAAAAATGGATCTGAAGTTAGTATTTTATATAGTTTAATTGTTGTTTATATCTTCAGTAAAATTTATGCCTTAAATGGAGGAGGTTTTAAAGCATCCTGAAAGTGTAATTCGATGAAGAAGGAGATTTGATGTACAAATTCTGCTGAACTCTGAATGTAAATGGCTAAATGTAGATAGCCAGTGAACAAGAGTGATGGGCATTGTGTGCTTTGCAACTGTGCAACCTACACCATATAAAACTTGTGATTGAGTGATTGTAAAACAGGTGATGCATGTGCCATAATGACAAATGTAGAATTTTAGTTCTATTTGAGAGGAATAGAACTGCATCATTGGAACCTTAAAGCAGTCTGGTCAATCTTCAACATTTCCGCTATAGAAGATTGCTGGGAGTAATATTTATGTGACCATTTGTGTAAATGCTGGGAAAGCTTTATGAGCCAGAACTACAACTATGAGGCAAGATCTTTTCTATGATATTTCTCATCGCATCATTGGCATCATCTTTCATTAATATGACATATTGCCTTATCCTTCTATGTATTGATACATATACCTGTAGCATATTGTACTATTTCAAACTATCTGACTAAGGCATATTAAGCTTTAAGACACTTTGTTCTGATATCTTCCATTAAACCGGGACCTCTGATAGCGCAAGAGTGGATTATTATAGTACCTTGATTTCTTTTAGGATGAGTGCTGATTGGATTGCATTACTTTAAGTGGGATAATCTGCATCCAACCTGGATGCGAATATCTATCACATCCTAGTACGGAAGCAGCTAGATCATTGGATGTAACTGACTTATATTTGGCACTGGTACACTCTTGATACTCCTTGGGTAATGATATGGAGATCTAATTCTGACATTAGTAGATCCTTTTAATTATCATTCATTATTTTAATAGTAGTCCAGTGATTTCAGAGTTTGAATTTTATATCTATGTAAAGACAGCTCTGAGTGGATATTGAAAAAATGCTGTTGAATTCATTATGAATGGTTTTATGATCATGATCAACTTTCGATCGCTTTGGTACCACTACTGAAACATTGCACAATAAACAAACTGCTTTTTTGACAAAGTTTGTAAATAACCGCTCTTCCTCCCATTTATTGTTGGTAGTGGTTTGGTTTCCTTTCTTTTCAATGGCTTTGGCACAAGTGAACTGATTGACAACAATCAATTGCATGGCAGGATGATTCATCATCTTGTGAAAACGTGAAGCATCATCAAGAAGAAGCGGGGCTTGCGTTAAAGCAAGAGCTGTAATCTTAATATGCCATTCAGATAAAAACTCGAAAATGGGGTAGAGTGAAGATGATATATATGAGTGAGTAGATAAACTCAAATGCAACACTCCTGTATGTCACATGTAATTGAACCTTTTTTATTGTCGATTTTTACATTAGGATCAGAGCAATACAACACCCTTCTGTGTGACATGTAATTGAACCTTTTTTATTGTTGTTTTTTACATTAGTATTAAAGTTTTTGTCTCATGGCAATTCTGTGATTGTGGCTGGCGGTGGCCTAAAGTTAAGATTACAGGCTATCAGTCTCACATGAGTCCTTGGTTGGATACCACTGTTCTAGATGATGAATGGATATCTTTTTATTTTAATCAAGATTTAGATATCTCTTGTAAAACTGTCACTGAGTTTTGATACCTTTTATGTAACACAAAAGATGGCCTTTAATAATTCTAATTATGAGATTGCGTCTTTTATATCATTCTAACTATTTTGCCTCACTCTTTTGCTAGCATAAAAAGAATCTCCTCCTTAGTAACTCATATAAAAACACATACCACAAAGTCATTTAAAGCAGAAAAGAAAGACTAACTAATTACAAAATAGGCAATAAAGAGATCTAATAAAATTTGCCATATATGGAAATGTTAATTAAAATTGATAAAAGTGTACGGAGAAAGAACTTATCATAAAAGATACAGAGGAAGTTTGAAAAAAAAATATTAAAAAATTGTATGTGGAGGAAATGAAATGGGGGAGAAAATTCTAATTGAATAAAAGCGTGTTAAGTTTTATGTCATTTGTGTTGCTATATGATGAAAAATAACTTTTTCTCCCTACTATATTTATCTAAATTACTATCAAAGGCTTTTTTTTTTTTTTTTTTAAATTCATGAGTGGGAGCTCTGGTTATAATTAATATATCACTTGAAATTTCTGTTGGAATTTAAATTGCTGGCTGTAAACAGTCCGTGTTTGGTGCAAAATAGAGATGAATTTTTATAATTGAGCATTACTTCACATTGCATTCATATGGTAAAGTTTATGAAGTAAATACTTCATGTAGAAAGAGAACTTGCCGAATTTTTCTGAACCTAACAAGATAATGATTTTCTGTTTAGTAAATTGATTTTGAGAAAGTGAAAGCAGTCAGCATAATGAATTACACTGGCTGCTTGTATGTTTTGAGTTTGGATGAAATGGAAAATATCAGGAATAAAATTGTTGTGATTAGTAACCAAGAAGAGACAAAAAAGGGCATTGAAATCAAATTTATTCTTGGAATGCACAATCAAAAATCTATATTTTGCAGAGAAAAAATACTGATCTCCATCTTGCAACCAAATGAAAGGTTTTTAAAGCTGACACCATAACATGCAACTGAAATTTCTGGTGTTATATTACGTGTTTCTTTATAGAGGTATCATCCATTGAAACACTTTGTCATTAATATTTATTTTAGAATTTGTAAAATATTTTAAAGTTTAATATGCATGAATTTTGAATCATGCTGCATTTTTGTTGCACTGATGTACAAATCACAGTGGCGTCTAATGAATAAAGCTATATGCAGGATTATTTGTTCTTTGCATGAATTTATTCGTTACTGTACAAATATATTTACTTGCAAAATACTTGAATTTAGATAGCATCTTATAAGCTATGTATGAATTAATGAAGCTCCTCTAAAACCTATATTTATTTACTTTTCAAAGTTTATACTTTGAAACATTTATCTTGTTCACTTCTTTCTATTGGAAAAAGTAAAATTCGTTCAGGGTTCAGTTGATGCACCAGGATATAAATCAGTTCTTATATTGCATGAATTTTAACAGTCACTTAAACATAGCTTATTGAAAGCATGATATATAATTATAATTAGAAAAAAGAAGTAATCATTAACTTTAGTATGCTTTCTTCCTGATTGTGTTTCAAGTATTTAGAATAGCCTGAATCTTTTTTAAACATGTATTTAAAAAAGCAGAATCATTTATTAAGATAATTTTAGAATCAATGTTAGAAATTCTTCCAATAAATTTTCCTTATACAGTCTTATACAGTCTGTAAAGTCTGTAGTAGTCTTCTTCCTTATACAGTCTGTAATCTGGACATCCATTGTCCAGAATGATCTATAATCCTGACCTCAATGCGACAAACTTTTTTTTCTTTTTGCAAGCTTTACGCATACGCGTTTAATTTATAAAGGATCTACAAAGCAAAAGCATGTTTTAATATCCATCAAACAAAAAGTGGAATTGCCGCAGAAAATGGATAAAGGCGTATCTGTCTCAAAATTATGCGAGGTGTATTACATTGGAAAGTCAACTGTATATGACATAAGCAAAAAGAAAAAGGAAATTTTTGAATTTTTTGTGGATTCTGACATCCCACTTGCAATGAATAACAGAAAAAGGGTTCATTATACTAAAAGTGACAATCATGACAAAGTGATTATTGAATGCGTCAGACAGTGTTGCAGCGAGGGCGTGCCATTGATGGATCCAATGCTAATGGCTCAAGCCAAAATATTTCATGAAGAAATTAACTCTGAGTGCACATATTTGACAGGTTGGTTAAGTAAATTAAAAAACCACCATGGTATAAGACAATTAAAATGAAAAAGCTTCAGCTGGTACTGAAGCTTCTGAACGATTTGCGGATGAATTCATTGAACTCTTTAGTAGTGAACAATTATCTCCAGAACAAATTTACAACGCTGATAAAACGGGTCTTTTCTGGTAATATGTACTGCGAAATACTTTGGCAACCTCTACAGAAAAGACTCCAACTGGTGTCAAAAATTCCAAAGCGAGACTAACAGTTTTAGCATGCACAAAAGCTGCAGGAACTCACAAATGCAAACTTTTCGTAATTGGAAAACATGCACCACTTCAAGCATTTAAAGGAGTAACGATTTCCCCTGTTATATATCGTGCAAATAAAAGAGCATAGATGACACAAGCATTGATGAATGATTGGTTTGAAAATCATTTTATACACGAGGCTCGGCAACATTTTAATTCAGTTGGTTTACCTGATGACTCAAAAATAGTCCTGATTGTTGACAACTGTTGGGTGCATACTTCACTTAAAGTTCTAGTGAAAGATAATGTATCCGTATTATTCTTCCCTCCAAATTGTACGTCTATCATTCAGCCTATGAATATGGGAATAGTGCACGTGCTGAAATGGAAATATAAAGTAGCATTTTTAAAATCTATTTTAAATTTCTTGAACAATGGCAAGACTATTCAAGAATTTTTGAAATTTTTTAGCGTAAAATCTGCTGTGTGAAGCATTGCAAGATCGTGGGGGAATCCAGATACGTTAAAAAATGCTTGGCATAATTTATGGCCAGCTACCATATTTCATGGTGAGGACGATGAAGATGGTAGCTCGAATTTGAAGGTGTTCGGACATGGGCAAGTAAAGGTGAAATTTTCTAGTTATTGGATTTTCTAAAGAAATGTGGAGAAATGGTAATAAATGAAAATGATATAACAGAAGTTTTTCATTGCGACGACAATGCCCCAATCATCAATCAATTAACGGACGGCGAAATCTGCAGTCTGGCTCTAGATCCAGAAAATACCGCTTCCGATAGTGTAGAAAGTGACAGAGAGGTTATTCAAAAGAAAAAAATTCCGATTGACAAGTTAGTTGGTATTCTCGACACAGCAATTATGGGACTTGAACAGTGGAACTTTGTAACTGAACAAGAAATTGTCTGTTTATAGCATTAAAGAGAAAGTATTACCACAAAAAACGAAGCAACTTAAACAACTTACATTGAAAGAAATGTTTAATAAAATAAACAAATAAATATTAAGTTTATATATATATATTCTTTAGATCATAATTGTTCTTTATTTCATAAATTGCAGTTTCATATTTTTAATTGCATAATTTCTGCATGCCATCTTATGAGATTTAAATTGATGATCTATAATCCGGAATCGCCGAAGTCTCGACGAGTCCAGATTACGGACTTTGTACTGTATTAGGTTTTTGTAAATGCTGTAATTGCTGTAAATAATGTACACTGATTAGGAGTTTTTAAAGTGAAATTTGTGAGATTGTTTAGTTGTGTGAGCACGTATGGATATGAGACATTCATTATATGAATAACAGAGTATCATAATTAAGTTAGCATGTATACCACTGTAGCTCTAATTGCTGTACATTTTCATTATTACTTTGTGATGTTAAAATATGAGATCAGTGTCCTAAATTAATGCTGTTAAAAGCAAAAATTAGCCTTGAAAATTTTACTTTCTAAAATCTTTACTAAAGCAGAAATTCATATTGTTTTCTCACATGTAATTATTGGTTCAAATATCTTGTCAAAAATTTTTGAAACTCGTAAGTCCTAGGAATTTTAAGCTGTGCAATTAGGAGAACACAATGCTCATTAATGCAAGAATATATTGATAACGAAAATATTACCAGATTCCACCAAACTAAAGATTTAAAATAAAAAATCTCGCAACTTTGTTTTATAGGAATTCGAATGAGTTTTGAGGAATGTTTATTTCATTTTCTGAATTTGAATATCATTGCATTTTTGTTTCAACTCTATCTTCACACTTTAAGTGCTCAAAAATATACCCGGTAAATGTTATTTTCAATAAGAAATCATCGTTGAAACTTGATTTTTCAAAGAGTAATATTGTAGACTTTTTATTACATTAGTTATTTAATGACTTAATTGTATTTTATCTTGATATCATTGTACTGTTTATTTATATTTTATAAAATTTCAACGGCATTTTGTGAAATATATTGATTAATGCTTAAAATATTTCAAACAATTGAGTAAGTACTTTTTGTTTAATCTACCCATTTTACATAAAATATATCCTCTACTAAGAATAAATTTCCTTTGATCATTTTTAGTACTATCTGAAATTCAATTCTCAGGAAAAAGTTTAGAACAAGAATGAATGATATATTTATGTCTTTAAAGAAGATAAACAATAGTGTGCATTCTTTTGGATTTGAAAAATTGTTTTACGGTTGTTTAGAATTCTTTGTTTCAAATTTATATATCAAGCACATAATAAACTTAAATATAAGTGATCACTGTCATCATTTATTTGACGTCTTACTTAAATTATTTTAAAGAAAAATATAAAACTTCATTTTTCTTTATATTTTCTTTAAGTCAAAAGATGAAGCGAAGCAAAGTGAGAAAAGCTCTCAATTATTTGAATTGATACAGAAGAGGGGTTCTGAGGTTAGTATATACATAATCTATGTTGTTGTTGCTTATCCTAACTTGTGTGATGTAGTCAGCCCAAGCCCACAAAATTTCTGATGGCAAGGAGCGCTAGATTATGTCGTCTGCCATTGGCAACAGCCTTGAGCACCATTTTGGTGACAGTGCGATTTCGCTCAGTTCCATCCCCCAATTTTGATTGAGTACACCCCTGGGGGGGGCGTTAGTAAAACTTAGGATCCTTACAAACGACGACGACACTTGGCAACGAGGAGACTGTCTTACATCTAAAAGACAATCCAAGTACAAGTACTTCCACAATAGCTCAACAAATGAGTTTTTCTGAAGCCATTGTCTGAAGTATACTTGAAGCAAACCAAATGAGCGCATACATTCTTCACATCCAATTATTAGAGCCTGAGAACATTTGCTGCATGGTTTCTGCAGCAGAGTGCTACAGGCAGTGCATTTCCTACATCTGTATTGTTTATGGATGAAGTATACTTCATGCGAGAGGGAGCCTTCAGTCAGCATAACGCTCATTTGTTGGCTTTGGTAAATACTCAGGCCTGCCAGACAACTTCTTCATAATTTCGAACACCTCTTGCAGTAAAACCTTTTAGTAAAATTCTTTCCTGCCCAATAATGTGCTGCTGTTTCTGTTCTTTTTCTCTGCTTCTTTGCATCATAGGTCGCAACTATGGCATTTGCGTCCCTGCATTCCTATGTGATTCCGAGTCGTCTCTGTACCCCCTACACATCCTGCAAATTTGTTGGTCTGGTATGGAATCGACCTGTATATTTTAAAATATGTTTACATTATACCTTATGTGTAATGTGTGTATCATGTTACTGCGTAAATGTTGTGTAAAAATAGTACATTAATTGTTATAATGTATTGTCTACAGGAAAATGATGAAAACTACATTGTATTATATACACACATTTATTATAGAAAAAAGGGTGTGCACTTGCACCATTTTAGCAATTTTTCCTCTCCGTCTGCTTTTTAAAATATAAAGCCCAAATTTTCATGCAAGATTTTCTTTTTTTAATATTTTTCTTTATATCATGTTAAGATGTACTTTTCCTATGCAAAATCTTGAACAGCCAAAGAGATTTTTGGTTATTTAGAGAGTCATGATGCAAAACAGGTCATCAGAATGTTCACAGTGTGATAGATACAAGAAATGTGTGAAAAAAATTATCATAATCAAAGAAATCAAATAAATCAAAGGAATGAAATTGTTATGCTGTATGTCCTACTGGGAAGGGGTATGAGGTTTTTATTTAACATGTTCTTAATACTCTGAGTGCCATGACTACCTTTATTTGGTCATGAGATTTTTTGTGACTTGGTACATATTAGCATATAATTTAACATCTTTTGCTTTTTTACTTTGTTTTTTAATAATGTAGATGTCATCTTAATGAATGTAAATTTATGAAAATAAAGATTAAAATAAATGATTATACAAATTTAGCTAGCAAATGCTGTTTAAACACAGGTCTTCATGACAGATCGAAAAAACTGCAACACTCGGAGAATTAATACTTAAAATCTATTTTCTTAAAATTTAATTACTGTTACAGAAGTTGAAAGAGGTATTATTAACGTTTTGGAGGTTACTGTAAAAGGTTTGGGAAAAGACACATCATTAGTGTATAGGAGGGCAGACATTTCTTATTATAAGATCAACAATTTTCAAGAACTCAATTGAAATTATGATTTTGTACAAAATTATTATTTCTTCATCTACTTAAAATACACTTTGAGCTTAGAGCATGAGCCTGCAAATGTATTGATTACATTTAATGTAAATATAGACAGACAGATAGATATGAGAAAAACTTAGCAGGTTCTAAAATGTAGATAAATATAGTTATTCTGAATTATTCTTTGAAAAACATAGTATCATGCACTGGTAAGGACACTAAGAATTAGTTATATACCTCTTAAATTCACGTCTTTATATACTATGAGCTATATTTATATGAATTACATTAATTAGTATATTAGGTGAATGTGCATATGACTATTAAGCTCAGCAAAAATTAATGGTAAACTTTACTTACATTTGTGTAGATTACATGAGTTGGAATACATTGCTAGCTCATTTAGTACTTTGATACCTATCAATGAAATTTACCCAAAGCTCATAAACAAAAATTTAACATATTCTGTTACTCATTATACCTTAAGTCAGAGATGACAAACCAATGGCACATGAAAAGAAAATTGTGCACTTACTCTCAATAAAGTAAGTTGATGCCTGGCCGTTTTCAAAACTGTTTTCCTTTTGAGTAGTGATCGTGACTACCTCTGATCTTTTTCCGAATGGGAGTGAGTATGGACGGGCGGCGGGAGGGACAGGAAGCTAGTTATTTACTTGTTTGTTTTTGTTTGGTGCATGCTTATATTGGCTGTAATTATTCATAATTTCATTTTCATAATTATACACAACAGCTTGCTTAAATTTTTGTGAGTTATAGTAATAACCTTAAGTATTACTTAACGGGGGTAGTTTGACAAAAAAATAGAAATTGTGACATAAGTCTAATAGAAAGTTTCAAGTTGGTAGACTGAGAAATATAGAATTATTAATAAAAGCAGTAAAGCAGTGTGCATTCTATACTCTGGAACTGTGGTATGTAGAACATTGTCTGTGAAACGGCATTATGAAACAAATAGCATTGTAAACCTCTTTGTTGAAAAAATGAATACAGAAAAAGGGAATTCTTTGCATGTGCAATTAAAAAGAGAAATGAACAATTGACATCTAAGATTAAATCTTCGTCAGGCATGCAATGATCTGCCAGCACTATCCTCATCTTCAGGGCAGATGTTTTTATTTTATTCGGCTTATAATTCCTTACTAAATGTAGTGTTTTATCTCGATGTACTCCGATATGATTTAAATCAATTTCCTCGTCATTATAAATATCACGAATACACATCAAATAGTTTTCTGGTTGCAATTTTCTAATTTCTACTATGCGTAATGTATGCTTTACACATGAGCACATTAAAAGAAATGTTTAATAAAGTAAACAAATAAATATTAAGCTTTTTTTTTTGTAAATTTTGATCATAATTTACAAAAAATGAATGAAATGATTAAAAATTAATAAAAAATAATTATGAAATAAAGATCATAATTGCTCTTTATTTCATAAATTATGGTTTCATATTTTTAATTGTATAATTTCTGCATGCCATCTTACCAGATTTACATTGATGATCTATAATTTGGAATCGCCGAAGTCCCGACGAGTCCAGGTTAAAGACTTTGTATTGTATTACTTCCATCCTCTGGGTCGATAAAATGAGTACCAAGTTCGCTTGGGGACTAAACACTGGGGGAGGGGTCCTGCGACAAGCTGACCACTCGTTCAGGGCATATGCTAATGCACCCCGGGGCCCACGTCAAGAAAGCAGATTTTGGGGCACTGCTGGCCTTGGCCTACTAGGGCTGTTGCGCCATTGAGATTAGTTTAAGTAATATCACAGATTCGCTTAGAAACAATTTGTCAGATGACTCCAGTCCAACTTGCACCCTGCTAAAAGTAACAAAGCATGAATCTAGTATGTTTTGCCATCTAATGTGCAATGGCAGAAGTCAGACTAATTTCATTCTGTATTTAATAAGCATAAAAATTGTTAATGTTATGATTGCTGTATAGATATATATTTCTAGTTACAAATGAAGAGTCCTAATATATAAGTATTTATTTTTATTTTTTTTTCCTTGATAATCACAAAGTTAATATTGTATATTGGAACATCATGGCCACATTAAATATTTCTTTAAAGAAATTGGCATGTAGATGTATAAAAGTTTGCCAGCTCAGCCCTAAGTAGTTTGGGTGTTTTTTGAAATATTAAAATATGTATACTGTGTAATTATTGGATATGAGAATAGATCAATTGAAGCTTTATGTGGAGCAATCCGAATGAAGTGGAAGAGTGGATAAAAAGCAGACAGGTTTAGATGAAATTCTTATACAAAGTTATGTAAAAACCTTTCTATAAAAATTCATTTTGTTTTGTTGCTGACATTCATGTTACACTATATAAACACAATTCCAAGAGCTTGGATGGATTATTGCTATTTAGTTGAGGTTCAGTGTTTACTCTGTAAATGATTTGGCAATCAACTATATTTCTCATGCACTAAGGAAGAATTGTTTAATATCTACTTTCTCCTTGAGCTATTTGTTGTTATTTATTTTATTGTGTAAGATTCATTTTTATAATAAATTATTAATTTCTTTCTGTTTATATGGCGTAATTGAGTAAGCTGTCAAAGAACTAGTAGTTGCAACAGTTGGTGCTGAATTCTGGATGTCTTTGAATGCCAATAATCGGAAAGATGGAAGAAAGTTGTGGAAATGATTGTCACAAAATCTATAAAAATGAAGACTGCAACTGCTGTGAATGCCACTAAAATGAAGAATTCTCTCATTGGAAATGCTTGCTGGTATGGGATAAGCAGCTGAAATGAAGAAGCATGTTGCTGGAAGTAATGGGAAAGCCATGATTTCTGTGAGCAAAAATGTCTCTACCTTGAACTTGAGAATGAGACTGGGAACATCAATCAGCAAATTTCTACAGTAAACATAAGACTCAAGAAAGAAATTCTAAGATTAAAACAGAAATTTCTAAAATCTATTTTATCCGTAAACAATATTCCAGCTCACCCTGCTGTGAATAACTTTCTGATTCATTTATCTCATCCTACAATTAACCTCTTGCCATATGACAGGAAATCATCATGGAAGATATAAAAAATAAAATTTGAAATGATCTCAGAGACATCAATGATACCATGTCACCAAAACCTTAAATTTGGCTGCATCTTTAAGAGAAAAGGCAGCTAACATTGTACAGGTGTTTCTGGTGGAAAACTTTCACATGTTGACTCCTTAGTTAACAAAATTTTTCAAGTGTTACTATGGACTGCAACTTGACCCAGCCTGAGAAGGCAGGAGACACGTTTCAAGAATCAGCAGCTAATACTGAAAAATTAATACAGCTAACATTTCCAGATTGTGACTAGGAAATTAAAGACGTATTGGGCCTCCAGTATTTATGGATTTTGTTTGGGATACTGTACAATGAGCACTAGCTCAAGAGAGCTGATAATGAAGATTTACAGAGGGCTCTAGTGCATACCTCAAAGTCGAGACTATACAGAATGCCAGCAGAAAAGAACATTAACTTGTAAAGGTGGCCAACAGAACCGAGGCCACACAGCTGTAAAAGAAAGGTGATGGAATCTAAGTAAACTGGAACAGCAATAATAATAAAGTGAATGGTGGATTTGTAATAGAGAAGGATATTTATGGAGACAATACTGTGCGCCTTCAGCTCAAAAGATAAAATCTTGAAGAACAACAGGGAAACTAATAATCTTGAGCGGCATTTGCTGAAAGTGCCTTATTTCAATGTTATTCACTATCTTCACTTCATGGGAGAAAGCAAGGGCTTTATATGGAAGAAGAAATCAATGGTTTTTCATCCCACAAAATAGTAGACACTAGAGTAAATGTTACTATTTTGCAAACTGATATAAACCTGCATTTGAAAGAGCACCTTCTCTAAACAGGTCCATCCTTAAATCTACATGCAGTGAACTGAAAGAAAATAAAACCTGTCAAGGATAATCTCTGTTATCAAGAAATCCACCTGTCAAGGAACATCTCTGGCATTTTCTTTTTGCAAAACAAGCAGAAGTTGGAAAACAAGATGCAGGACAATGATATTGTGGAATTTTCCTTAAGTCTTTATGACCTATCATTGAGGATTTCACGTGATTTTATGTTCATTATAGAAGTCTAAATGGCATTACATAGGCAGAACAATTACTTTTTGCCTAGAACTGAGGATATCATAGACATGCTAGTAGGAAACAAATGGTTTTCAACTATAAATTTTAAGATTGAGTACTGGCAAATGGAAGTAGACGTTCATCAATTAAGAAGATTTTTCGTCATCTGCATTTACTATTGAAAATTTGTCAAAGATGTCTCTAATCTTGGAAGGCCTTTATGCTGCCTAGTGTAAATTATCATCTGCTACTTGTCAATTTTGTTTTCATGCAAAATGGTGCTTTTAAAGAAGCAGTGGACTGAAGTCTTGTATGTGCTCTTTCTGAAGAAAATTATTTATATTTAATAATTTTTTGTTATTAAAAAAGGCTGTGAAAGGCATGATTTTTCAGTATCTAAAGCAACTTAGATAATATTATCAATAAAAAAGGGGGGAAAATGGCAAAATTTAGCTTCAAGGAGAAAAATTGTTCAAATTGCATATCAAAGGGGGGAAAAGGAATGTTTCGAATGTTGCAGAAGTAAGAATTTTAATGTTAAAAAACAATCTGTGAACTCAAAGGTCAGTTGCATAATCATTAAAATGTTCAGTATCAAGTGTAAACAAAGTGATTAATGCTGATTTGAATCTTAAAAGGGGGGAAATGCAATGTACATCCTCTTTCTTCCCGAGATATTGCCGAGCGTAGAAAATTATTTACACAAAAATGGAAAAATGCTGTCACAATAGATGAATTTTGGGTATATTTAACTGGCTGCGATAAAAATAGATCCATTTATTATCATTAAAGGGAAGAAACAAACTAGACCAAACTAGGTCACTAGACCTTTCACCATTCGAGCATATTTCTTGGACATGTTAGGCTGCATGATTCAGTCACCACAAAATATCACAGATCCGGAGCGACAACTGATGAATGCCTGGCAGAATGTGTCGCAGGATGACATTAGGAACCTCTATCACACCTTACCTCGATGAATTCAAGCATGCATTGCTGCCAGGGGCAGTTTAACCAACTACTAACTAGAACATTCAGTCGGTGATTGTGAGTCATGGACAGGTGATATGACCTTAATATTTTAATCATTTTATTATCTGTGTATGAGCTAAACAACCACTTCCTTCATGGTGGTTTTTTTTTTTTTTTTTTTCCTTTCAAAAGAGTGTATATGTGTTAGGAATAACTTCTGATTTTTATCTCAGGAAAGGTGGAAAAGAACCTAATCTATGAAAATAATACCTCTTCAAGTAATGATAATAATAATATTACTTTTTTTTTGTTTTAATTTATGACGTCTCTAGGGGATTACACTGGAATACGAAAGATTAGATTGCAAAATTTATTTTTAAATTGTTAATTTAATTTTCCCTTCTTTTATTTATTCTGATCAAACAAATTTTTCAATTATTAAGTCCTGATATTGTAAATGTGTTCTGCTTTTTAGCTTAGCATCAGAATTCTGCAGAAAAATAAGAAGAGGAAGATATCAGATTCAACTGAACTGTTTGAGAGAAATATCTCTGAGGTTAGGAAGCTCTGCTGCAGTATTTGATGAATATATAATTATGCTTTTGAACAGATTTTTAAAAATTTATTTCAGTTTTAATCAGTATTTTTTTGTATTTTTTAATTGCTATATTGTGAAATATTGTTAAAATCCATCTTTAATTTTAGACAAGTACCTACTCATTGTATATTTAAAGTACGAAAAATTTAAGCCAGCAGAATCAACATAAAAATACGAAAAATAAAAGCCAGCAGAATCAACAGAGGTCTTTAGAAAAATTCTATGCTTAAATATTCACATGCCTTTAGGATTTATAAAATATAAATTGACAAGTTCACAACTATGTAATTGAATTTCTGCATTAATGGGTATATAATGCATGCCATGCTTATTTTAGATCTCATATAAGTTAAGTAATACTATCCTGAGGTTCTTTTTACAAAAATCATTTATAGTTGAAGTAAACTGTAGTATTCTAAATAACATTTATTCTTTGTTAGCTATTATTATTAGTTCATTTTGACTTTGAAATCATGTTTTCTGTCGCTTAGTATGTTTTTAAGCAATTTCAAGCTTTCATGATCTTTATTATATTACTGCTGCATAGTTAAAATTTTGAATGTTAAGTATTAAGTTAATCTCTAAACGGCACAGATATCTACTTATAGTTAATATCAGACTTGAATATGAATGTATGAAATTTAAATATTCTGGAATACTTCTAAGACAAATATAAGCATGCTACAGCTAAGATAATAAAACAGTGATTTTAACTTGGTATGCTGTGAAAATTTTAAAGGTAATTAATTTAATCATTTTTGAAAATAGCTCAAAGCGTGCTAAATATACATATCAAAATATACACATCTTTAAATTAATTATATGAGTATATATATATATATATATAAACAAAAGTTGAGAAACTTCAAATTAAGATGATATGCATTAATATAAATTTCGTGCAGTATGATGCAAATTTAATTAACTAATCAAAAGGCAATTATTAAATCAAAATTAGATCATGAAAAGTCGGTAATAATTAAGTGTAATAATTTAGATTCATTTAAAATAGATGTAGATGTCTAATGAAAAACAATCTTGGCAGTCAAGGCAGATTTAAATATTCCTTTTTATTTAGTTGACATTTGTGGTCACAAAATAACTTGGCACTTTAATAATACATATCTTTAAATTAATTATATGAGTATATATATATATATATATAAACAAAAGTTGAGAAACTTCAAATTAAGATGATATGCATTAATATAAATTTCGTGCAGTATGATGCAAATTTAATTAACTAATCAAAAGGCAATTATTAAATCAAAATTAGATCATGAAAAGTCGGTAATAATTAAGTGTAATAATTTAGATTCATTTAAAATAGATGTAGATGTCTAATGAAAAACAATCTTGGCAGTCAAGGCAGATTTAAATATTCCTTTTTATTTAGTTGACATTTGTGGTCACAAAATAACTTGGCACTTTAATAATGCCTGTTAAAGAGCAATTATATTTATGATATTGTTTTGGTAAGAAGAGAGCAACAAAGCAGTGGACTAAATAGGCTGGTATGGAGAAAGCAAGTGCAATATGCTCAGGATGAAATCATAATTCAGAGCGAGTTAGTTTTAATTTTGAGTTATCTTGATTGACTAAAGCATATCTGCATTAGCTGTATTGTGTAATGTATCAGATGGATTAATTTGGAAATGATGCAGTTTAAAGAGATTTATTATAAGTAGTTGCTATTTTTAGGATAAAATGAGGGAAACAGTCAAATTAAAATGTATTATTAAGGGACTATAGTTACTGCAGTTAGATTTTTGATTTACATATTTTTTAGTCTTACATCTATATATTTATCTACCTTTCTCTCTCTCTCTATATATATATACTGTATATGTGTGTGTATATGTTACCGTGAAAGACCGAAATTGGAGAATGTTGACTTTCACCAGAGAATATCAACATTCACCAAATACGTCGGTGAAAGACCGAATATTTCACTACATTCTTGTATATTCGGACCCTCACCGGTCTATGTCGACAATCACAGATATGCTCTGGTGAAAGTCGAAAGAGAGGTCATAAAGTGCCATAATAGTTTAAGTTGCTGCAATAAATAAGATTTGAATGACATAATTTAGTAAGTTTTTTATTACTGCTATTTTATTTTCTCATTTAGAACGTACTGTATAATTAAGTAAATTTTTAACTTCTATTATTTTCCTTTCTCATTTTGAATGTATTGTGCGTTTTAGGTTCTCATGTTCTTAAGTTTTTATTTCACGTTTCAAGTGCGTTTATTCGCAACTGAATTACGGATAAGAAAATATAATATTGTTATATGTTCAACATTCACCATTAGTACATGGTGAATGTCGACATTGACCGGTGTAAGTCAGAAATAAGAGTATTTGGAAAATATTTCGGACATACACCAAGAGACTATGTGAATGTTGACATTCGGTGAAAGTCGACATTCTCCTGATTTCGGTGTTTCACCATAACATATATATGTTAATGCCTATATATATTACGCTGTAACTACTCCCTATTAGTGAGAGCTACTTAAAGGAGATAAGCACTGTAACAGATTTACCCAGGGTACACCACTTGGAGGCCTGCTATGTTACATCCCTACCTCTGTGTCATTAGGGAGATATGGATGATAACCACCTCAAGAACTGCCCTGTTATTTTAAAGTTTATTACAGACAGCTCTATTGAGGCTAGTTTTTACCTTTGCTTTTTTATACTCTCTATATCTATTAGTTGATTGATATTTAGGGCATTGTCATTGTAATGGAAAACTTCTGTCGAATCTTCTAAATTTATTATCACTTCTCCATGTTTCTTTATAAATTCTGTTAATTGGAAACTTTCACTTTTTGTTTGTGATACCCCAAAACCTTCAAACTGGCAGTCATTATCTCACCAAGAAGTATAGTAGCTGTTAAAAATATATTAAACATTTTTTAAAATATTATCAGGTTCAATGTTCCGTCTTACTTTCTTTGGGAACAAGCAAGGACCTGACTCACAACAGGGAGCTTACTAAAGCTATGTTCAATAACTGTGGGAAGTAGACAAGATACACAGGAAGGGTATACAAAACCCTTTATTTTTCACTCTTTACAATAATTTCCGTACTTCGGAATACTGAGACCAACTACTTGTGGTCTGAACGTAAGAATATAAAATATAACTAAACTCTATAACTTAAATTTGGAATAATCAACAAGGGCCTACGTGTAAGATTGGCCGGATATTAACAGGAAGCCGTATGTAGTACAGAGAACTGTTAACACTACAATACGTTTAAAATTATCACGAGGATTAAACCTCTGGCCTGGAAGGCAAACAGCAACCGAGTAAAACTTCTAAGGCAAGCGGCCTGCTTCGACTAACTCCTTCCTCTCTCTCGCTTGGCAAAAAGCCACAACTTAAGTACTTGGCGTTCGCCAGACAAATTTTGCATAAATAAGTTAACGCTTTTAATTCTGGTCAGAAGTAGAAAATAAGAAGTGATAGTAAAGATTTAAAATAAAATAAACGTTAGTAAATCTTAAGATCCTTACATACTTCCCGCCAGAGTTAATTAGTTTGAAACTGAGGTCTAAAACGACCTTGTTGAAAACTTTTAGCTCTAGAATCTAACGCGAGGCCAATCTTTTACAAACATTTCTCACTAGAAACTAGAAATTTAAAAAAAAAATTGTTTTTACAATAGCAGCTCCATGGACACCCAATTTTTCATCTGTACTGCGTCTAAACAGGAGCTTTTATTCAAATCTGGTTCCTTCCAGAGATCTGGAAGGAAAACTAGTTTAATGAAATGTTACACAATTAAATGGCAAGTAACATGCATATTTATATTTCTCTTAACATTCTTATTTCATTCATGACTATTTTAATTATCTCTCCCCGTGCTCTCTGACATGTGTTGTAAAAGAACACCAAACACGAATGTGTTTATGTATACCTGTTCAACATTGCCTCCTACAATCAAAACACTAACGTGTTAAAATTCAACATGACAAGACCTCGTAACAGACCCTATCTTCAACTCTAAACCCTGAGGTACTATTCTGAAAGTGGCTAACTCTGAAGTGTAGCGTCAGAGAGCCTAACTACATTCATTCAACCTTTAACACATATTCACCATAATTTGGTCTTTTTTTCAGTCACACGAATAAAAAAAATTTTTTTTTTCATTACTTTCACTTTTACCATATCATAGTATTTCTTAACATTTCAAATAACAGTTCACATTGTATATAAGAACATACTGTCTGTCTACAGTAAGAACAGCTCTCGCCAGTTTGTCTGCGGCTGTCTGTTGCTGTAGAAACGAGCCGTGACCCATTTTTCGTAGGGGTGTCTTGAAGATTTACTTCTCAGTTTGCCACCTTGGCATATTTAAAGATGATTTGGCGATATTCACATTTTGTTTTAGTTTCAAGTAAAATGCTCGTTGACCCTTTGCGTCGACCCCAACATTCAATTTCCGAAAATGAAAATTGATGGCGTAAATAAAGTTTTTGCAGTCAAGGAACGGTCTTTGATTTTGCCGTGTGAGGTACAAGTCGCTGAATTTGCCATCCTTCTAGATGTACAATGAGTAAAAATATATCAAAATAACTTATAGGGAAATGCATTTTAAAATCCGTGCTTATTTTTGAAGAAAAATGCTCTCAATAAATACTTTTTGCGAACATTTCTTCTTTTCCCATACCTTCAAACTAAACCAAAAGCTGGTCAATTTAATGACGAAAGGAAGCGAAGGTAAATTAAAATCAAAACTACTTTTTACTTAATTACCAGTGGTTTGAATTGGTTTATATGATTACAGAAAGCCTCCAGGGTTAAATGCCTAAGAGGAGGGATGCCTTCGTGGAGGGCTTGCTAAGGAAAACTGCCTCGTATACACGTTACACATGGGGAAAACACCCATGCAGCCAGCCCGTTCACGGGATTCAAACCTCGGACCGAACTACAAGTGTTCAGTGACTTTACCGATCGGCCGTTGCTGGGCCTCTTAATTACCAGCGCCCATTTATGCATCATGCTGCTTTTTATAGACACTGTAATAGCTTGTAACATAATAAAATGTTAAAATCAGAACAAAATTAACGTCTCTTAAATTATTCAGTTACCTATTTTATATTTTAAAATTATACGAAATTTATATAATTATACAAAATTTGGCTTTTATAACTGCAGTGAGCATTGTTGCATTAATATAATTTTTGTATTAATATTTTCATAATAAAACAAAACTTATTTAATTTCAATTAAAGATTAAAAATTATTTTTTAAGCAAATTATACCAAGGCTTGTGGTCCCCAAGAACACAGTAATGGGAAATGAAGCAACCATTCAGTGTTCTTTATTATCCACAGAGGGGATTTCGCCTCTGCCGAAGGCTCATTGTTGCCCACTTTTGGTAATCTTTCATTTACATAGTGGCAAAGAAAATATTGAACCTAGAAATATCCTCACAACTTGACAAAGCTATCAGATGAAGAAGAGGGATGCCTTCGTGGAGGACTTTTATAGAGGTATAACATCTGAAAAGTCATCTGAGTCACTGTCGCAAGATTCCGTTTCTTCTGAATCAGAATCAGAATCGCTGCTGCCAGTTTGAATTATTAATCCATCCACTATCTCTTCTAAAAGTTCGTCCTTGTCCCAATAATAATTTTCAAGTTTTTCTACGTGGTTGCAGTGCGCCTGCCATTCTTGAGAAGTGACTTCATCCAAAGCTTTTTGTGTTAAATTTTTCAAATTTTCCAAGCTTAAGTCCCCAGTCACATTCCTTTCCCTGATCAGTCTTTTAACTGATGACCAAACGTATTCAATTGCGTTTAGATCACAGTGGTAAGGAGGGAGACGCACAACATGATGCCCATTTTCCTTTATGATGTTGTCAATTTTATATATAACTTTTTTAGGACGATTGCATTCTATTAAGCTGAACAGTTCCGCTTTTCGCATTTTGGGATCGCAGCATATCGTCTTCTTCATCAGCCAATTTACCATTGTTTGCTTTGTAGCATATTTCGTGGGTGTCGGATCTTCAATTTTTGTGTGATACGGGGCATTATCCATGCATACCACACTTTGAGGTCGTAAATTTGGAAGAAGCTTTTCCAACACCCATTTTTCAAAATTTCCATAGTTCATTTGCCCATGGTAATCCCCGCTTTGAGCTGATGCTTTATATATAAGTTGGGCACCTGGAATAAATCCTGCGGAAGAGCCAGCATGGACAACAATCAGTCTATTTTTGGAACTGACATTTATCTGTGCGCCCAAAACGTATCATGCTGCCAACATTTCTTAAAAGTTAAATTGCTGTCAATCCATGTTTCATCGATGTAAACGATGTGGCGTCCACTTGCTCTGAGTTTCCTCATTTCGCGTAAATAATTGTTCTCCAAATACAGGCAAGCTATAACACTTACTTGAATTTTCTCTAGAATATTAACTATCATTTTTAATTTGGTTATTCGTCTTTTTATTCTAAAAATAGTAGCATACTTAAATTAAATCTTTCTGAGCTGCGTCATTTCGACGTTAATCCTTTTCACATAATTCTTAAGTAAGTCTAGTGATGGAGGCACTTGCATAAAGCTTTAGTCAATCGTAATATCAAAACTCGCAAAACGGAATTTAAAAATGTAATAAAAACAAGTAATATAAAAAACATTAAACAAAGTCAATTCCTACTTCAAACTATTTCAACAAAGAAAAATTTTATGTAAGTTCCTTTTTATCAACATTATTAAATTTTTTTCATTTCTAATTTATGAAGCTGTTGATGTGATTTTATAGCGATGACATAGTAGAAGCATTGGCTTGTTTCTTAATTCATCCGGTAAATACGCTTTCGTTTCTGCCAAATAGCATTTTACGACTTACTTGTATCCTTTCGTACAGATTTCGCAAGTTCTGTCAAAGAATGTGTTGATGGCTCTTTCGAATGTAGCGATTTGTGCATTT